CATTTACTGGCAACCACTTTATTCCTGTTCTACACGTTCGTTTTTATGCACTTCCGAATACGCTCTAAACCTAAACACCACTGGATTGACACAGCTGGACAGTTTGGTCAAATAACGGTAAAGTCTCATTTTAAATCAGTGCTAATTCTCCTCTCAGCTTTATTCACACAGTCTTTGCAGATTGTGTTTTATAAGCTCAGACAAAGGTTTCCTTAATGTTTAGCTCAGAGGTGAGGCTTTACAGTGGTGTTTGGTGCCAACTTCCTCAAACATTCAGCAAAGTCCCTTCTTAAGAGTCTTCACTCAATATTTACTTGACTTGGCACAAATTTGTAAGTGTGATTAAAGCCAGTACTGAACACCTTCAGTGATGCTCTACAATTTTCAACCTGAACCTGAAGCAAAAAACATGCTGCACTCCATCTGAAGCAGGAAACTGGAAATTCGGAATCAAAATTTCCTCCTCAGAAAGTCAGAAAAGCACCACCAACCCTGACTTCACAATCCAATAAACGTAAACAGTAGTAAAACTGAAAACCCTGCACACTGTATTATCACTGTTGTGGATTGGTGACTCACTACATAAGCCATACGAAAAGCAGCAAACAGAATCTATCCATGTGCGTGCTGCAGCGGTGTTTTAAGTGCACCGCACTGTATTGCTGGTGATGTATGAACATGAACAACATAATGATTTATTTTAGTTATTTTAGTTAGCTTGCTTTTTAAAAATCACATCCACACAGCGAAGCATGGGATACTCACAGCATGAACAGGAGAGGCAATGTCAACATGGACCCAGACACCGGGCCAATCAAAGCCCAGGTGAGATGCAATAAAGAGGCCAGCACAGGAGCTCTGCGCGTTCTCCCGATCCTGTCAATGCAAAACACACACGCACCTTAGCAACCAAGCCTGAATAAATTATAACAGCCATTGAAAAAAATACTAGTGCTGTCAGTGTTAATTTTGTTAAAATGACGTTAACGCCATAACCACATTAACGCGGGAAATCTCCGTTAGTGAGTTATCACGGATCGCCCTAAGCTTGGATATTTTGGAAAATCGTCACACTTGTTATCAACAAGTCTGACGATAACAAGTCTGCACAAAATTCACAAAACCATACAACTCATAAAACCTTCTGTTTCTTTTCTTCTCTTTAGCAGAGATCAGTGGTTTTATGTGCTGTAAAAACTTCAAAATGGTGAGATCATGTCTCGTCATCCAACCATGTCAGGTCACTTTCTGGAATCACATCTCCCAGATTTTGTCAATATTAAAAGGACTTAATGGGGGGCAAGGATAGCTCAGTAGGTAAAGTGGTTGCCCCATGATCGGCTCACTGAAGGCTACCTGGAGGTACCCCTGAGCACCAGGCGCTGCACTGGTGGCTACCCACTGCTTCACTGGGTGAATGGGTTAAATGCAGAGGAGTAATTTCCCTACGGGACTAACACATACACACACATTATACATTAACTAAGGAATGTATAATGATTTACACAACAATAAAATAAAAATCTCATTGTAATTTATACTGTGCAAACATCCTGAGCCACCCATGTGATAGTACCAAGATGAATGAGCTAAACTGAGCTTGTTTGAAGTAGGTGGTGAAATCCTTACTGCCACAGAGTTCTTCATGTCAGCCATAGCAGAGGTGAACTCGCTGAAGTGCAGCTCGGGGCAGTAGACCAGAGGGTGAGCGAGATCCCCACTGCTACGGCCCGCACGCACAACTGCAGCTTCCCACTGCTCACTGTTTGTCATCACAGCTGCGTGGTGCTTTCCTGTGGAGATTCCCTGAGCAACAGAAACAAAGAGACTTCAGCTATGAAGCAGCACCTGCCTCACAGTACAGAATGTGTTGATCTGGGCACCTGCAGTGGTTGGTTTAGTGAGTCACCCACCTGTGCACCTGTCAGTGTAGCCATATCCAGAATAATATCAGCAGCCAGGTCTTTGCTGGCATACACTACTCCATCAGCCAGCACCAGCCTGCCCTCTGCATCGGTGTTGTTGATTTCCACTGACCTTTAAAGGGAGAATGGACATTTAATACCACTGCCCACATACATTCCTCTCGAGTTAGCGTGGAAAATGATATCGGACGCAGTTAATGTGCAGTCACACTTTGATGGCAGAGAGACACTGAATACAAACCACACAGGTAATTTGATACCAAGTGTGTCAAATCAATTTCCAAGCAAATGATATATTACTACTTAAAAATAAATCAATAAAAAAAGTCTCACTTTCCAGAATAGAGAATGTGGATATCATCAGGTCGCGTGGCTGTGGGTCCAACTGAGTTCTCTGCGAGGCAAAACACTGCATGGAGATTATCCTTAAAGCCCTGAAACAAACAGAAGACAGAGGATGATTAAAAGACCTGCTCAAGCCACAGACACCAAGTGGCCTACAGAGTGGTTGGCAACCATGGATGATAGTGGATGATAACCATCGGTTGCTTGGGGAAAATAATTTCCTGTATTCCCCAGCTGGTTAGTAAGTGGTTGCAGGAGGTTGCTTGCTGCTGCTACAGGAAAAATTGGTCACAAACAAGTATAAAGTGCTGCACCTAAAACTTCCTTGTAACCGCCAATATCGCTAGCAGATTGTCACAGTTGCACATACTTTGTATGAAAAATAAATAATAATAAAAAAATACAAGCAGCCAAAACAATCAAAAAGAGGTTTTTAGTGCAGCAGCCTCTTCACGACTGGCTTTATTTAGCAACAGCCAGCAACTACTTCCCAATTAGTCATTTGAGACTGAGGCCTAAATGACAGCCAGGAGAGCTGATGTGGGATCCTTCTGTCACCTCACCTGTTTAATGGTGGCCTTGAATGCTCCCAGAATGGCAGCAGCTCCACCACAATCTCTTTTCATCCCTGGCATTGTGGTCTAGAAGAAGGAAAAACCACAACTTATTTACATGTAATGGATCTCTTCTGCAGTGAGCAGGACAGCAATCCAGTTGTCTATAAATTCATTTACAGTAAGAAAAGCTTTTTGGCTGAACTAGTGAATGTAAAAGGCACTACTTGCTAACAGATTACTGAGAATAGGCTTAGAGCTTATTTAAAAGATCAGCGTGGAGGTTTCCAGGATCATCCAGACTGCCCAGACAGTGGATGAGGAAGTTGTCAAACTTAAGAGATTACAGCAGACAAAGACTTTGGAGGTGCAACATGGTCCACAAGATCACAGTGAAGATTAATGTTTGGGGTACACACAACAAATTCTGTGCTAACACACCATGACTCAGTGCACTGTTAAGGTGAAATACATGAGTTAAGCCAAATATTGTTGCATTTTTCCACTTGATTAACATAATTTTCTATTCCTGTTGAATTATATTTCTATATATAGACAACTCTCACCTATCAGCTATCCCAGTAACACTGTAAAATATACTCAAGTGAGACATGCAGGTCTGTTTTTCTAAATAGATGATTAGTTATCATCTCCACAGGAAACAGAAGCATACCTTTCCCTTAATGCTAAGTCCACCAGTGTCATACACAATTCCTTTGCCCACCCATGCAATTGTTTGGGTAGCGCCTTCAGGAGTGTGACTCAGTACCGCTAACGCAGGAGGGTGCTCTGCTGCCTTTCCAACACCATAAATACCTGAGAGGGTGAAGAAAGAAAACGGATGAATAACTGTGACCAGTTACAGTTGCTGTGGCTTTAACACACCACCGCAGGTTTCTGAAAATCTTCTAGAAAATTAAATCCAGTGATCAATTTTTGCCCGCTTTTAACCTTTCTATTTGCCCATTTTTCTTCAGAAAAAGGAACGTAAACCAGAAAAGGGAGAAGAAACAAATTTACAGCACAACAAAGACATAGAGGTAACGGGGGCATTTTCAACGATCTAAAATGTTCAGACTTTTACACAAATTAAGCTTTGACCCATGTTTTGACTTACAGGCACAGTTTTCTATAGGTGCCCATTTTAGCCCTTAAAGAATAAGTCAATTTTTCCATTGAGTGCATTTTTCCTACTACAGCCTGCCACTGATTTGTCTTTTTAGGATCACATTTTAGCTAGCACTTCATTACTGCCTCTTATACACTAAAAACTTTAAAAAGAATATAGAGCCTAGCTTCAAAATATGCTACTAGGGATCAGTCCCAAAAATCTGGTGTCCCTAGGGAAATCTCAACCAAGTATTTCCTGTATATATATATGCATGTTTAGTATTTGAGGAGTAAAAAGAAATGTATTAGATATTTTTCCTAAATTCTCTCCATGCTTTAAAGCTAGCTGAAGATTGTTGGCATCTTCAGTTGAAACCAGACACAGTGAACAGCGCAGCTGACTTTCTTTCCATTAGAGTTGCACCACGAGTCTCTCTAGCTAAAGGACACTCAACAAAAAAGTTTGACATAGCAATTCTGGAGAACTGTGACAATTCAAGCTAAAAATAAAGCACACAGGCATGCGCAGAGGTCGTACCTCCAAACCCTTTTTGTTTCAGTTCCTCTCCACGAATGATAACTGGAGTGATTCCAAGTTCATTCCCCACAGCCCTGATTTCCTGAAACAGAAATTTATTTATATGTGATGAAAAACTGCAGTAGAAATATTAAAACTAGTTTTAACGGATTTCAACCCTCCTTACTTCTAAATTAAAAATTAAAAAGTATTAAAGTGTACATAAAAAAGTATTGTCGATATGTAAGTGATGCAATGGGTTTGCGAAATTAACTCCTGATATTGTAAACAAATATCTTAAGATATTCACTTTCTGTTACTAACATCAATAAATAGACGACAGTTTGACTTAAGTTTATAGCCTAATGTGAGAATGGGCAAACTGAAATGAGGACACAGAAGCTTAACAGGTAACGTTTTCATGGAAACGTGTTCCAGGTTAACAAAGTTTATGCAAATCAGAAACTTTCACTTACATCTAAGAAGTGATCTGTGTTCATCTCATTGCATGGAGTGTCCACAATGCGAGCCCTCAGTCGAACTCCATCAGCAGCGTTAGAAAGACACTGAACATGGGAAGAAAAACAAAGGCCATTAAGTGATGGCAGACCACACACACACACACAAAAAAGGCAATTATGAGCAGCACTAACAATTAAAACCCAAAACTTTAAAGTACCTCAAGCTCTGCAGCCTCCAGAGGATTGGCATCTTGCCCAACAATCAAAAACTCCACGGTCACATGCTTCTTCTCAGTTCTGCGTGAGGATGCGGAGCGGCGAGAGAAGATGGGGAAGGCCCGGGCCATAGCACAGGAAGATGCAAACACATCTGAACGCTCACACACCATCTGGAGAGCAGAGACAGACCTATGTGTTAGCCACTTCGTGAAGCAAACAACCTCACCACTGGATGACCCAGATTTGAGTGCCATGGGACTCCCAGAAGTCCCATGGCACAGAAAGCAGGCATCTATAAAGAACAGATTTGTTCTGTAGCTTAAAGTAACCACTGACTTCCCCGAAGAACAAACAGGAAACAATTCTGATTGAAAATACTGACCACAATGCAGCGGTTATTCCCTCCAGGAAGGCAAGAACGGACCAGGCGGGACACAAAGTGGGCAGAAGACGGGCTGTTGTGCCTGCTGACCCTTGAGGGAATGGCGGCCACTGTGGCATAGTTGAGGTACAGGGGGCAGCTGTCCGTGGGGTTTGGGTTTAAAGCACTCAGAGCTGCCTGCCAGATCTGAGAAAACATGAGGAAAAATTGACATTTCTGACTCACCACAAAGATGTTAAAGCTTTGAAAAACACTTTTTGAAAAATCCTCTAATTCTTTTACTCTTTGTAAACTAAGTACAAGCAGTCTGGGAAATCAACAATCTCTGATGATGTAATAATAATCCACTATTAATATTAAATATGTTAATCCAGATGTTTATGACAGGAATCTACAAAGCGGTTTTGGGAAAGTTTTGGAAAGACTATAACCAGTCACAGTGCTTCCACCAGATTAAAATCAGAGGCAAGTGAACCAGTAGGTGATGGGAATTTGAGATACTGGGTTTGAAAAATTCCTAGTGTCACAATGTTTCCAGATGCTTTCACACTTATCACCTTACATACAGAAGGTAAATACACATGCTCAGAATAATCAGAGCGCTTCATGGAGCAGGCCAACAGTGTCTCGGCAAATCATTGACGCTCTGACTGGAAAACTGTCACACTCAATGACTCTGAGCGTATTAGTCTGGCCACCAAATCCACCACCAGTGATCTAATCACTCACCAGGAGCACGTTGGACAAACTCCATCGACAGTATGTCGATTATGTTGAAAATAAGTTTACACATATGCGATATGCTGCAGTAGTACGGCATTAGTTATCTGGATACCGAAGACTGGGACTTTAACCTCGTCAATGCTCCAGTTGTAAAATCCTATTCGGAGAAAGGTTAATGACCACTGTCTGGGTTTAAGTACTGCTTTTCTAACTTAAAATCATCCAGGAGTTATGTGACAGCCGGGCAACCGTGGCAGTAAGCAAAATACGAATTACTGGTGTTGTGAGATTTACTTCTACGGTCATACTAATAATAATTGTGATTATGACAATAATAATAATGATAATGGAAAAAAAAACCCTAAAACAAATAAGACCGCAAACATCTCTTGACTATTGTAGCGCTTAGCTTACTAAGTAGCCTACACTGACACCGTTATAGCTTTGCTCTTTGGACTCTTTTTCGCTAGCTGTGTCATGAAATAACTTAGCTGTGCTAGCTTTTGCTAACTTTTGCTTAGCGTGACGCTAACATTAGCCGGTACCGAGCTTCTGTTATCATTTATAAGATTACCTCTTTGCTAATGACCGGCTGGAGTTTTCCTTTGATCTGGCTCCAGCTGACCTGCTGCAGGTTGGTGTGCTGCCCGATGATCAGGACAGGGCGACTCTGTGGCTCTGAATCACCGGCAGAAACCTTAAACTCCAGCACCACATTCGCCATTTTGGTGACTGAAGGTGCTCAAGTGGACGGCGACGGACACCCCGGACCGGCGACGGCAGCCGGGTGAGGACAGGCTTTAGTGACGTGCTGCGATTTTTATCGACCTCCAAGCACCAGGTGGAACAATATAAGAGCAGACTGTAGTTATTTACACCAAAGTTAATGTAGTAGTAATAATAACAAAAGCTAAAGCAAAACTATTTTTATTTGAACAATTTAGTCAATCAAAATAAACGTATAAAATAAACTAAATAAATAATCCAGGAAATGAAGGAAGCCTGTTTCCCCCACTTTTGTTTCTTTGGCCATCCACAGGTAAAAATTTTGAGTTACCTCAAAATGTCCTATTGGGTATCATAACATTTCGACTTAATCACAAGTTTCAGATTTTGGCTCTAAATACAAGATTCATGGAGACCATTCAGAGGGTTGGTGTGAGAAAGGAATAGTGTAACACACAGCTCCAGATTAGCTAAAGATCAGGCTATAACAAATAAACAAAACTAAAAGTAATATTTAATACAATAAAAGGGTAACAAGCAAATTCATTCAAGAAACTAACTGAACTGAAAACCAAAATTAAAAAGATTTTCATATAAATCTAATCTGATGTATTCAAAGTTTCTTTGACAAAAATTAATCGAGCCAGCATAAAAATCTGTTTCCTTACACAGCGGGCATCATCTCTAAGGAAGAACACAAGGGTGCAGACAAGACGATGAGCCCAGATGGGTGCTTCCGTTTATCAAACTCTAATAAGATTTTGAAATAATAAAATAAAGACAGCAAGACTTCTTCAGATGGTGGTGATTCATTTATTCCGGCCTATTATGAATGCCAGCCACAACCAAACCACACTTTCAACCTGTGACATCCTCAAATTTGAGTAACTTGTACGGAAGACACAGTTTGCTCACATGAAACGCTGCAACAGAGCAATTCCTGAAGTTATTCACAACATTTCACTACACATTGTGTTTAGAAATGCCTAACAGATTTTTTTCCCCCCTATTTTATTCCAAACACAACACCATAACCCTAGGAAGGATGCCCTCATTAAAATGTAAACTTTGATGTCAGAGTGCAAATAGTTTAAAGGCATTTTAAGATAACACAGAGGCTACAACTAGGAAGAAAATATCTTTTGGATAAATGGCATCAGCTGAGCTGCAGGTCTGGCCTTTGACTTAGACTTAAAAAAAAGGCAAACATTTGATGCACAACACTATTTATAAAAAGTTTGATCTTTAAAGAGAGAGGCAGTGAGGCTTGTTTGTAGCAGCACAGATAATTTTATGTATCTAAATTAATTTGTGGTCACCAATTTTCTTTATAGCAATGACAAAAGTTTGCAAATGTTTAACAGGAACAGATCAACACTAGCTCCTGTACACGTGCTGTGACTCTGGGTTTCTTCCCCACTGAGATCTTGTATAGAAAAAAACAAAACCCCTTAAAACTCACCTAACTGTTCATGCTTTATGATTAAATCAAACACGAATTTTGATAATAAAGCATGTCATTAAAACAAACAAAAAACAAGCTGGGTATCTGTTAATTCCAACTTCTCAAATGTGTGTGTTTGTGATAGATTATAATCATCTTTGGGTCTTTAAACGTTTATGAGAAAAAATAATTCAAAGATGCTTTGGGACTCAAAATTAATTCAACAATTACTATTTCTACTCGACATTTAAAGCCTTGTGAAATTTTTTAAATGTATTTAAAGTGTTCACAGCAACTAATGCGTTGATTATTTGCCATTTCTCTGTCTGGATTATTGAACTGATATACTTTACTCATAGTTTATACGAGTATGTAACATCCAGTCTGAGCAGTGCTTGTTATTGCACCGGGATTACAGTACACACTGACCTGAGGTTAATCCAATAATTTGGGATTTTCAAGGTTAACTTCATTTTAAGAGTGCTATATACACTAAACTTGTTAAATTCTCATTTAAACTATAAACATGCTTATGACTGGTAGGCTAACTGAAGTTTTAAATCATGATAATATCAGAATAATAGGTGGCTTTTATATCAGTGTAGTGTTTGCTACACCCTGTGTAGGATAAGAAAATAGTGCTATTAATTGCATAAAAGGTTTACAGCACCTGTTAGATATATTAAAATATTTATATTTAGAAGCAGCATCTAGTAATATGAAAACTAAGCCAAACACACACACACCACACACACAGACACTAAACACCTGAGCATCTGTGCACTCGTATCAACTGAAGACAAACATGGAGTTTTGAAATTATGTTGCTTAAATAAAAGTAAATACTGATAGTGGATGAGGTTCAGGTGGGGAGGCTTGTGTTGTGTGCTTATTTTAAACCTTCCATTCATATCTAAAGATTAGTACTTCATTAAAATAACTACACTCTTAATAGAGATAATAATGTGAAAGCTAATATTAGAGTAAGACTAGGTTTTATGCTACTGGCGAGCAAGCATATGCTGTCATGTATAGAAATGCCATGACACGAGAGAGAAAAAGCTATGCATGACCACAGGTGTTCATGGTGACTTTGGGTTACGCTGGGATGAAGCTGCATTTTTGTCACAAAAGTGGCTTACAGGCTAACACTGACTGACAGTGTGAATTTGATGGTCCTGTGCTCAGGCATGGCACAGGTTTCCACTGGCCCCGCAGGAGGCAGCGATAGTGCAGTTCTTCAGGATGGGGCTGAAGTGGGAGGCTGTGTTAGGACCAGCCTCTCTGGGAGGGAAAGGCTTCATGGTGGAAAGGATGAGGGCCAGACACTCTGCTACGTTTTTGTTCGGGGCACAGGCCAGAGCTGGCGTGTGGCCTGCAGAGGATAAAAAGGCAAATCAGTAACCCACACAATCCTCCGCAGGTTGAACATACCTGCTTTGGTATTCTTATCACAGAAATATAATCCCAACCTACCTTCCTCATCTACAGCCATGACTGCTGCTCCTCTGCTCAGTAACACCTGCACAACAGTCGCCAGACCTTTCCTTGCTGCAATGTGAAGCGGCCTGCATGAGAATAAAAGGTCTGACTACAGTGCACTGAGGACAGATTAAACTACAGTGAGATTTATGTTTTTCAGAACAGACATTCAGATTTGTCACATTTTCTCTTTGTCTGCAGAACAAGGCATGACATCGTGTTAACACACAACTGAATGCTCCAGACTGGCAAAACTGCCAAAACCTTCACTTTTATAGAGCTGCTCATGCTTGCTGAGAATCAGTTAATCTATTTTATTTGATTAGCAGCACCTGGAAGCAGTAAGAGTGCACTTCGCTGCTTGGCTTAGGTTTTGTTAAAAAAAAAAAAGAAAAAAAAAAAAGGACGCAGTGTAATAGGTCATGTCTCACACTGGTCATTTTAAGACCTGCTAAGGATAAGACTATTTTTTTATTTTGTCAGGGAAGGTGTATTTTCTTTTTACCATGATTATATGTTTCTGGGCTTCCAGTGTGGCCAGCCAATAATACTTGGACAACAAACAGAAACCAGAAACCTTCTTGTGCCAAAAATCTTCCACAGACTCTGCAGATAACTGTTTATGGAGATCAGCTGACTGCTACGTCAAGACAACTCACATTTGGAGAGCGTTGTTTCTTGCATTTATGAGTGAGGAATCGGTGATCTCTCCCAGGATTAACAAGGCACACATCTCATGACCCTGCAGAATAAAGCATGTTAATGTTGTTAAAACCATCCGCTTTATTCACTGAAATTCAGAACAAGTACTTAGTATTATGAGCCACTGCAGGTTTCATATAAGAAAAACTACTATTATAATTAGTTCAAATTAAATCAGAATTATACTCCAGACAAACAACAGTTATGATACATATTAAACTTGATTTTTATGCATTACATTTCTAATCACCTTATGTGACGGATGTTAAACTGATCTCCTGCTACACTCATGCAACTATTTGTGTGACACTGCATGCATTTAGTGCACCCATTTGTTTGTGTGTATGGGACCTTGCTGCAGGCTAAGTGAAGGGCTGTGTTGTTATTGAAATCCACCAGGGTCAGGTCTGGGGTCACCTTGTTCAGCAAGAACTCTGAAATACAGGAAGTAAACATCAACAAACCCAGACTACTACACCTCAAGTTGTTGGTTGGTGTTTTCACATGACAGTGCAACAGTGGAACAAACTGTTTTATTAAAAGAAACCATCACTGAGGGATGTGAGAAAAGAAGCTCTCCAGCTCTAAATAGTCTAGATAGTTTTTAAAGGTTTCCAGGTGCAGAAAGAAACAAAAACATTTCAAAGGACTTCCTTGTTTCACACATACCAACAGCTCTGGTCTGTCCACAGGCAGCAGCAACCATCAGAGCAGAGCATCCACAGTGGTCCACAGCATTAACCTGTGCTCCCTGGGCCAGAACCAGCTGCAGCCCAGCAACGTTCCCTGAATATGCAGCAGCATGCAGTGGGGTCCTGAACTCAAGCAAGGTACACATCAAAATACTAGATGAGCAGAAATGTTCACAGCCCACGAAGGAGAAAACACTGTCCAGAAAGGTGATGCAAAAAATTAAAAAATCCATTAAAACCGAATCATACAAAATAACTTGTAGCTCTAGTAGAAGTATCAGTAGCTCTTCAGCAGCCTAGCGCCTGTTTATGTAATATAGAAAAAATAAATAAATCACACTTTACATCTCAAATTAGGCCACTTTTAAATGAGTAGCAATCATAAAAAATAATATGAGCAGTGTATTATGACTGCTGGAAAATGTATGCCAAGTGTAAAATAAACCTAAAACTATTACATTAACTTTACTGACACCTGCTGGCTGTGTTGTATGAAACCGTCTGAATGAAAGTTACCTACCTTCCTTTGGCGTCACTAATGCTGACAATTTGAGGGCCAAAAGTCTTCACTAGAAGGTCTGCTGCAGCTTCATGCCCTTTAACTCTGCATGTGGCAAACAGAGGTGTTTAAAATGTGAAGAACTACACTAAATTTATTTAATCTGACTTCTAAAAAGCATGTGTGTGCACATAATAACTCACAGAGCACAGTGCAATGGGGTGAAG